AGAAGGAAGCCCGCTGGGGGCTGGGGGGGGACTATGGGGCAGAGAGACCGCCCCCGCCTCAGCGCAGCCCCTCCGCCCAGACCACCATCATGGCCGTGGAGTTCGACGGGGGAGTCGTCATCGGGGCCGACTCCCGCACCACCACCGGGTGAGGGGCGCCGCCGGTGATGTCATCGGTGATGTCACCGCGGGGGGCTGTGGGGTTGGCGGCAGCGGGGGGGGGGGCGCCAGATGGCCCCAGGCGTGGGGGTGTCACCGGTGTTGTCGCAGGCAGCCTGTCACCGTGATGTCACCCCCCCGAACCTTTGCAGGGTGTCCCAGGTGCCACCCGTTGTCCCCAGACCCTCTGCTGTCACCGTGACACCTGTCACACCGTTGTCACCCGGCGCCTGTCACCATGATGGCACCTGACGTCACCCTGATGTCACCGCCGCCGCGTAGGGGTGGTCCCGGGGTGTCACCAGGTGTCCCTGAACCCTCCATGGTCATGGCGAGGCGGTTGTCACCCGGTCCCTCCTCACGGGGCTTGTCACCCCTATGCCACCCGTGACGTCACTGCGATGTCACTTGCAGACGATCGGGACCCCCGTCACGGGGTTGTCACTGTTGGGACCCCCCCCAAAAACCGTAGGGGGGTTCTGGGGTGGGGCGGGGCTGTCGCAGTATTCGCCATGATGTCACCGCAGGTCGTACGTGGCCAACCGGGTGACGGACAAGCTGACCCCCGTCCACGACCGCATCTTCTGCTGCCGCTCAGGCTCTGCCGCCGACACGCAGGCGGTGGCCGACGCTGTGGCCTATCAGCTGGCCTTTCACAGGTACGCGCCGTGATCTGTGGGGCAGGGAGGAGGTGCGGGACAGGCGCCGCGGGTCTCAGCCCACACGTTCTCCCTGTCCCACAGCGTGGAGCTGGAGGAGCCGCCCCGGGTGCGGACGGCCGCTCGTCTCTTCCAACAAACCTGTTACCGTTACCGGGAGGAGCTCAGCGCCGGCATCATCGTGGCTGGCTGGGACCCACGCCGGGGGGGGCAGGTGGGGGGGCCTCTGCCCCGTAGCACTCTCTTCTGCCCCATAGTATTCTTTTCTGTCCTATAGCATCACCTTTTCTACCCTACGGTGTCTCACTCTGCCCTAAAACGTCACGTTCTGCCTCCTAGCATTCCTTTCTCTGCCCCATAGGGTTCATAGGGTTCTCTTTTCTACCCTATAGTGTTTCACTCTGCCCTACAGCATCTTCTTTTGCCGCCTAGCGTCTTTCGCTCTGCCCCATAGTAGGGCCCTGCCTCATAGCACGGGGCCTTCTGCCCCATGGCATCCCCCCTTCTATCCTGTAGCACTCCCTTCAGCTTTACATATCTCTCTGCCTCACAGCATCACCTTTGAACCCCATAGCCCCCCCCAACCCCCCTAAAATGTATGTGGTGCTGATGGGGGGGCTCCTCCTGCGTTCCCCTGCCCCATAGCCCCCCCTCTCTGCCCCATAGACCCCCCTGACCACCCGCTGTGCCCCCTAGGTGTACGTGGTGCCAATGGGGGGGCTCCTCCTGCGGCAGCCCTTTGCCGTGGGGGGGTCAGGCAGCTCCTACATCTATGGGTTCCTGGATGCCGCCTTCCGCCCTGGGATGACCCGTCCCCAGTGCCAGGATTTTGTTGCCCGTGGTGGGTTTGAAGGGGTTGGGGGGGCTG